TATTCAAGATAGTTCTTCTTGATAAGTTGGTTTACATCACAGTTGGTTTAGCAAAATGATTTATTGAGTGCCTCCATTTAATAGTTAAACTATTGCTTATGAGAACAAAGTTATCTATATCAGTTTGATATAGGTTATATATGAAAGTATATTGCATTCTCCCCTCACAAGTGGTTTCAGGGTCAGGAACCAAATAATTCTATCTCATTATTATTGACGTGCGGTGTATATTTTGATTAACACCATAACGCACAAAGATTGGTTCTCAAAGTTGAGGAAACAAGTTAGTTTTTCTAACATGAGGGGGAGACAAGATACAAATGTTGAGAAAAAGTTACATGGAATGAATTATCATTTATACATCTAGATCCCCGAATAAAATAATATGAACTTGAAGTTCATAAAAGGATAATTCATGTGCAATTTATTGCAAAGCATGCCAGACTCATTTGTTGCCCAAAGAAAGTAACTATATTCTCATTACAAATGCTCCTATTAGAATAAGTCCTAGAAGGACAAAGTTCATAGTACGCTTAAAGCATATAGACAAATCGGTTTCAAATAAACTTCTTGATAAAGAAGATGAGGAAATGATCAAAATGATCATAATAAAGGAGGCAAGTGATCTAGAAGATCACATGACATAACACTTCATAAAATCTCAAGAGAGATTCAGGTACCTGAAAATATGAATGAAGAGATTTATGTCTTTATGAAAAATATTGAAACTGATATAAAATGTTTGTCGACGACATCTATGATAGCGCTAAATTTATATATGAGGATCTTAAGTCTGAAGAAACAATTCGAATAGAATTGGTTTCATATGAAAGACATGTAGTTTTGAACATGTAGTTCAAACACTTGAAAGTATAAAATCAATGGTATGTGCAATCAGTTTTCGATATCTTATATGTCTAGCATGACATGAAAACTTGATATGCATCTAAAGTCTATTATATGGCTTATATGACTTAACAATCCCTGAAGGATTTAAATTGCTTAAAGCATATAAAATTCATGGTCATGAAGTACCACTTCCTTAGTGCAATTTGTGCACAAATGTATCTTGCTATAACTATATGCATGATAGTATGATAGCAAGAGGTTTCACCCCTATGTGAAGATATTGAACTGACGATTCCAACAAGATCATATGAAGACAATTCATCTCTATCAAGAATGATGATTTCAAGGTGCAATATATTCATTCAAGTTAATATGACTGATTTGTTTATCAAATATCTACCAAAGATCTTTTGAAGATGGTGCACAAGATTGGAATGCAAATGCTTAAGGATGTGAAAGTGATGCTCTCATGAGGGGGAGTTAATACGCGTTGTACTCTTTTTCTCTTACAAGGTTTTGTCCCACTGGGTTTTCCTTGCAAGGTTTTTAACGAGGCAACAAAAATGCGTATTATTAGATATGTGTACTCTTTTTCCTTCTCTAGAATTTTTTCCCACTGAGTTTTATTTTAGTTAAGTTTTTAACGAGGCACATTATCTGTTGAATAGACATTCAAGGGGGAGTGTTATAAATAGAATTTTATTTATGGTGAATGTCTATATTTAGAGAGATTCTAGGGTTTATTACTTGTTGGCTAAGTCACCCTCTCCCTATAAATAGAGGGTTCTATTCCATTGTAATTCATCCCAAAATTCAATAAGAATTTTCTCTCCCTCTTTATGTGCAATATTGTTGTTGTTCTTTTATTATTTTATAACAGTTACTATTATTTTCCAATTATTTTCCAACTTACACGAATATTCCCTTAAGCACTCTTACTTTGCGGTAAATGTTTTACAAGATTAGTTTGCAATTTCTATAGGTAAGACCACCTAAAAATAGGTACATTATAAAATGAAGCGCATGGAACTTGGAAGGGAAAAATATTACCCAGCCGCCTTTGTTAGTACAATTATTTTCAGCATAATTTATCAGAAGACCTTATTAGGAGACGAGAAGACCAAAAGAGAATGAAGCTGTCTCGACCCCAAGGCAGGATAAATAGTCGATGAGCATTACTAACAGAGAAGGTAATTCTCAATTACTGCTATGAATCTATGATTATATGTTCTGAGGATATTGTGAATTTGGAAGCTGGTTAAAGATGTATTTATATGAGAATGTCGCACTTAGTGAATGTAAGAATTTAAATAGAGAAGCCAAGTTGGGAAAATAATGCAGGGAAGGTGTTTGTCGAAATGCTTGATATATTCGCCATTGTCAGATATTCTCATTTCTATCATATGGGTTAAGTGAGTCCCTTACGGTTCAGTTGGGGTAAGTGGAAAAGGGAAAACAAATAAAGGAAGTGGAAAAACTCAAAACCGCTACTTTCTAAAATTTGACCTTTGATTTCTGTCTTGAAAGTCAGAGAGGTTTTGTGGATAAATTCTCATGATTTCTTTGTTGTCGTTATCGCCAACTGAATGCATCTAAAATATAGTAGTAACTTTTTTTAGATTTTCAACCCAAGTCAGAGAGCTTGCTGTTTTTCACCTTTTCTCTGTTTTATAACACTGAAAATTCAAAATACCTTTGTCTTTTGCTGAGCATTGGCATAAATACACTCATGCTCTCCTTTGTTAGTTTCACCATCGCATCTCTTACTCTTTGTGGTTAATGGCAGATCGACATTAAAGGCACTCGTGCATGCACTGCCTTTAAATATTGATCCACTTCACTATGTTGTGCTGATCAATCAAAAAGGTTAAAGCTTTAATCAAAATTTCTCTTCTTTGCTTCCGATATAATAAATTCATTAGTTGGATATTCCTGTAACAGTGTATTTTCAGCTTGAATTTTTTTTTTGTACAGTTGACACCAACTTGTTTGATGCAATGCCTGCTAGAGATCTTGTTATTTTTGGCATTTCTTAAGCTGGTAACAATGTTGTTAGATATTAGACCCTGATGAATTTTTTATTGGGATTACAGTTTCTCAGCTCCAATATTGGATGCTTCAAATACATCGGATCGACAAGAAGCATTGCAGTTGTTACAACTTTAATCAGTGAAAAGCTAATGATATTAGCTGAAATTTGAGACACATATTTCTGGAAAGGGGATTGCAGCATTTGAAGAGGAGTGTTGAAGTGATGAGCAGCAAGGTAGCAATCAAATGGCCTAGAAAAGTCACGACAACCCTTGTCGAACAGCTGATTCGAGCAGAAAAAGATGTACAAAAAGCTGTTCTTATATTTGACGCAGCAACAGCAGAGTACTCTAATGGCTTCCGGCATGATCGTAGCACATTTGGTCTCATCATCTCTAGATTGCTTTCTGCAAATCATTTCAATCTAGCGGAGGAAATGCTTTTCAGAATGAAGGGCGAGAGCTGTAAAATTACTGAGGATATATTCCTCTCAATCTATAGAGCCTATGGGCGGGTTCACAAGCCACTTGAGGTGATCAGGGTTTTCCAAAAGATGAAGGAATATGATTGTGAGCCAACCCAGAAATCGTATATTACGGTGTTCTCTGTACTTGTTGATGAAAACCGGTTAAAAACTGCTTTTAGGTTTTATCGTTACATGAGGGGGATGGGCATTCCACCTTCTGTTGCTTCGCTTAATATTTTGATTAAAGCTCTCTGCAAGAACAGTGGAACAATAGATTCTGCTTTTCGTATATTTCGTGAGATGCCGAATCGCGGATTTACACCGGATTCCTATACGTATGGGACTCTAATTAATGGGCTTTGCAGATTGGGCAAGGCCACTGAAGCAAAAGAACTTCTGACGGAGATGGAAGCAAATGGTTGTTCCCCTACTGTTGTCACCTATACTTGTTTGATTCATGGATTTTGCCAGTCAAATAACTTGGATGAAGCCATGGGATTGCTTGAGGACATGAGGAGCAAAGGTATTGAGCCCAATGTGTTCACTTATAGTTCTTTGATGGACGGTCTGTGTAAGGGTGGACGTTCTTCTCATGCAATGGAGCTATTGGAGATAATGATTCATGAACATAAGGTTCCAAATATGATAACTTACAGTACCTTAATTCACGGACTTTGTGGAGAAGGTAAAATTGGAGAAGCCTTAGAGGTTTTCGACAGAATGAAACTTCAGGGATGTAAACCTGATGCAGGGTTATACTGGAAAGTTATCAATGGCTTTTGTGAGAATAACAAGTTTCAAGAAGCAGCCAACTATCTTGATGAAATGATTCTTAGTGGAATATCTCCAAACCGATTAACTTGGAGCTTGCATGTGAAGATCCATAATGCAGTAGTCCGAGGCCTGTGTGCCGTGAATGATCCAAATCGAGCTTTTCAATTATATCTAAGCATGCGCACCCGAGCCATCTCAGTTGAGGACAAGTCTTTTGAGATTCTGGTCAACCATTTCTGTAAGAAAGGAGACGTGCACAAGGCTGCTCGTATTGTCGAGGAAATGTTGATTGATGGAAGCATTCCAGATGAACAAACATGGGCGGTCGTGGTGGGTGGATTTTGGGATAGAAGGAAGGTAAGGGAAGCTGCTGATTCGGTACAGGCTGCCCTGATGTATAAATGTATGGATTTTGGATCTTGATGTCTTGTTCACGTTTCTGATTATGACCGTAGATGCCTTTGTTAATCCATATGAATGTCAGCACCAAAATAACCTGGTTTTATTCATTCTTCAGCGTCTAAGAACAATTTTGGTAAATCATAATATAGTGGGTGTCTGTTGTATTAGCTCTTTTTTATCTATTTGGTCAAAGCTAAGATTATTCCATGGCAACCTGGAACTCAAGGGTTCAAGTTGCAGTTCAATCTTCGCATTGCACAGTGGTAAGTGTTCAGAAACTCTATTCCTGAATGCCCCAGAATATGGGGTTTCTTGGGCGTCCTGTTTTCCATGAAGTGCTTATTATATTACATTTACATGATTAAGTGCACTTTTTAATTCAAGTATCTTCCTCCAAAATTTTGAATCATGACTCTTTTGCATGTTGAAAATGCAACTTGTTGATCTCTGACTTTCTGAACTACAGATTATCTTCAAATTTCATGAAGGCAAACACTAGCATTCTTTATCTACATTCGCTGCTAAAGTCATTTACAGCTTCATCTGGCAAGTTGGGTCAAAGTACATGAAATTGGTTGCTTTGTTACATGAATGGAAAAACCAATAAAAAGCATGAATCTCACTCTGAATGTAAAATAAAGAGAGGATACATATGCGACAAGCCTAGGAGAACAAACATATTAGTTAGAGGTGAGGGGGAAGCCAATGCCATGACGTTGCGTAGGAAACACCACAAACAACATACTGCAGATGACCCCAATTGCCACTGGCAGAGCTGTAAGCAGTTCCTGTGTTTGATATGAAGGTGTTGGGTAGAAACAATTTACCACATTCTGATCAAACAACGCAACAGCCGCAAAAACCAATATTGACATGATGGCATGCATGAAATCTATTAATTTCAGCTTGTAGTTTCCTGCGATTTCTGGTGGAGGAGTCGCTGATCCATCAATTATCCACAAGCCTCGCAGTGTGGCAAACCCATAGCAAACATTTCCTTTTTGGTCCTTGAAACTATCAGTAAAGCTTAACAGGAAACATGACAGTCCACAAAGTGCTACAAGAGCGGCAGTCAAAGATCTGCCAACCACGTCACACTCCCCTTGGTTTGTGAATATGGGTGATAAAAGTTGAAAAGCAAGAACAGACCCAGTAGGCAGAAGATTGGCAAGGTGGGCAGTGCTTTTAAATGTCTGGCTGATTGCCTGTTGTATCAGGTTTTTCTCCACTTCAGGCAGGGCTGAGTTTTCAAGCAGCAGGGGAGATTTCTCTTCATCGAGATTCCGGGATGTCTCATTTTCCACCTTAATCTCCATACCCTTGAAAGGTTTAGTTAAATTTTCTTTTCAGTTCTTCAAATTTGTGTTAGAATGTTTATTGTTTGAAGATGTATTTATAACTGATGGAAGATAAAAATGGAGTGCACCTTGGTTAATGAATGATGCCTTGCAAGAAAGAAAAACAGAAGCAACTCTCCCCCAGGAATCTAGGTTTGGAGTTTCAGTTTCCAGATAGTTAAATTTATTTTAAAAAGGTGCTTAAATGCCTATGAAGTTTACTTTACAGTTATGGAACTCAAATTCTTTGAAATTGATGTTTTATCAGGGTGTCCGTTTTTAACTGATTATCTCCGTTTACTTGTTCTTTTATCATTAAAAGTTTCACTTTATCTCAAAATTGTAACTTTTGATTTTATTGAGAAAAAGAAAGTCTGAAGTCTGAACCTTCCGTTGGAAATTGTTGTTTTAATCACAACTTACAAGCAGCGTTTATGAGTTGGTATATTGTTGGTTTGTTTGAGGATGACGCATGTTTCTCTTGCTTATTTCTCAGGTGACTACTTAAGTAAGATATTCCTTAAAAGTCATCTTTCAGTTTGGCTAGCTTGCAGTATCAGCATGACACAAGTACACGTAAGTCAGTTAAACAAATTTGCTTTTGTTTCATTGGTTGTACAAGTTTTTACTGCTAGCTTAGCACATGACGCCTTCTTTCTTTTATATAACTAGTATTTATGAACGTGCGTTGCACGTTAATAATGATACGTAATGGTTTAAACATTTAATTATATGAAGGAACAATAAAATTTAATTAATGAGAGAAATTTTATATATAATAATATAATAATCATCTAAATACCTAAAAATATTATTATATTAGCATAATAGATGAATTTAAAATAAAAGGACAACATCACACAAATGATCAATTTTGTCATGTTACTTAGATAATAATGTGTTAGTACTTCCTCCGGTCTACTTTAAGTGATTTTTTGGTTGCTTTCACACATATTAAGGAATTCACCTTTTATCATTAATTAACAATATAATTGACCATATTTACCTTAAAGTGGATCGGAGGAAGTATAATTTAAAAGTATTTAATGTGATGGTATCTTACCGAACACTTCTTGTGGACGATATTTTTGTGTGTGTATGTTTCCTCCTAATTGGTTACTCTACCTTAACCAGAACTCTTGTTGCCGATTTTGATATCCCTCTGGAAAGTGCAACATACAGTTGTTTGTGCAAGAAAATATATTGCGGTAAATATAATCTAATATTAGGATGTTTGTCCTAGTGATTTATTTATTATATTTGAAAAACGTAAACATACTAAAATTATTTTGACACAAATTTAAAAGAATATTCCTTAGTTTTGGAAGACCAAAGTTGAATTCAGGGATAAGAATATGCTTAGAAGCACATTGACCAGTATCATAATTTTGCATGTATGACATTACTGTCACAACTTCTATATACCATCTGTGTGCTATTACATAAGTTATTCGGCGTATCTATGTTTTTCAGTAGCATGACGAGCATATATTTTTCAAAAACAACCTATATACAATGGAAGATCAATTATAACTTAGTCTATTATATATACGGTGACACTAACATGCGTAAGAAATATTAAACTTGACAACAAATGTGTATAGTAGAAGGCCATTTGATATTAAAGTATTTAAGTATTCTTCTTGGTAGTAATTATTGGTATCATTCTCTGCTGAGTCAAAAACTGAAAAATATTTTGTTTTTACTATAAAATTTTGCAATCAACCTTTTATTTAGTTGATCAACATATTTATTTCTGATAGCTAAGATAACTTTTTAATTCTATCATGCGATTTGCAAATTGCATTTTAATCTAATGATAGAAATATTTCTCTTACTAAATGCACTACTGTTAGCATTGGGGTTGATAACCAAGTATTCGAGAAGAACCAAATCATCTTTTATTGGATGCTCTTCTTCGTTTCCGACATGAAGCAAGAAGACACTAAATGCCGGATCTGTTCTTACTTTATATTTCTTGTCAGTTGAATCTTTTTTATTTGAGGCCAGAAGTATTACTTTGGCGAGCTAGCTTTTACAGTCTTTGTTTTTGTCGATTTTGGAACTACTGGTAGTACTTGATAGAAATCACCTCCCAAATCATTAATTTTTTCACCAAACGGTCCATTAACATCCAATATATCTCTAGAACTCTGGGCAGTTGTTTCGATCGTTTGACACTTAGTTATAAGTGCTTCATCCCATATTATCAATTTTGCTTTCTTTATAAATTTAGCATCATTGCTCTGCTTTGATATATATTTGTGATGGTTATTTGAGTAGGAAAACAATTCAAATATAATATAAAAATATATTATCGTGGGGATATTATTTTCCTCAATTTCAACTCTTTATGCAGCCCAATTAATATTACTTTTATTATTTTTTGGTATTGGACATTATGGAGTGGTAATGTATTGCCAATATGGAGGATTATTAAAAAAATTGATTTTATTAAACCTTCCTACATATTTTTAAATAAGAATTTAATAGATAATTTTTTTTAATTTTAAAATTTTGAATATTAAAAGTTAGCATAGAAGGTATTGTAGTCCAAGAATTAGGTTATTGCAGTTATGTCCTTTACCTATGAGTTCTTTCATTTAATATTTTAGGGCTATTTTGGTCTATTAATAATGTATTTGTGCCTTTATAATAATATAAGATTTCCTTTTTCTAAATCGATTTGGACAATATAACACATTTTCAAATTAGTCCAGAAAATAGGTTATTGCAGTTATGTTCTTTTCCTATGAGTTCTTCCATTTAATATTTTAAGGCTATTATGGTCTATTAATATTATATTTGTGCTTTTATCATAATTTATGCTCTCCTTTTTTTCTAAATCGATTCGGACAATATAATACATTCTCAAATTAAATTAGTAATAGGACATTATAATACGTTTTTAAATTAAATTAGTAATAGAAATTTTTAAGAAGTATATCCTAAAAGTAATAGGATTATATGACTAAAAACACGTCTCTACCCCGAAAGTAATTATATTAATAGAAAACATAACGTGTTCCTAAAGATATTAGGTATACATGCTAACATGTAGTATTATATGTCTTTGCCTGAAAGTAATTATGTTAATATGATTCCTAAAAGTAATCATGCAGGATTCCTAACATATAGTTTATGTCCTAAAACTAATAGGATTATAAGGCTAATATCTAGAATTTCGATTATATCCTTTTATTATGAGTTATTATGCTTAATATTATAAGGTTATTTTTGTAAACTGACATTGTATACATGCTTTTATAATAATATAGATATAGATATATATAGATATAGATAGATATAGATATAGATATAGATATAGATATAGATAGATTAATCAATGATATATGCATGTCCATATTTTTGGGGTGGCGAATGTAAGATATTTACACAAAATCTAGATATTACATATATGTATAGCACAATTTCTAAAATAAATATGTGAATAGTGATTATATGCCAAGCAACGAAAAAGTCCTTCTAGTTTTCATCATCTCTTTTGAAGTTTAAATTGTAGAATGCTTATGAACTTTTAACGGTAAGTATTACTTTTTCATGCTTTTCTAGGATTCATAGCAGTACTTATGTCCTAAAACTAATAGGATTATAAAGCTAATATCTAAAATTTCGAATATGTCCTTTTACTATAAGTTATTATGCTTAATATTATAAGGTTATTTTTGTAAATCGACATTGTATTTATGCTTTTATAATAATATAGATAGATAGATAGATATATATAGATATAGATAAATAGATAGATAGATAGATAACAGAGGTACAATTTTAGCCTATGTTTAATCAAAATCGTTTTAAAAGTTAAAATCCACAATAATTTGGGATTAAATCCCCCTTTTCTCCCCCTCAACCTACCGCCCCCCCCCTCCCCTCTTCTTCTCTTCCTCTTTCCATTGCCTTCGGCCACCCATTCACCTTCACAAGCATAAATACAACTACTTAAAGTTACTCTAACCGCCGTNCTTTGGGGTGAGGACTATATTTATCCCTTAAATATGCACATGAGCACATATTGTGTTTAAGTTTACAAAAGTTGAGCAGATATAGTCTACTTAACAAAAGTAAACATACACACCCAAAAACTAACGGTCCTTACGTTTGTGAATTCACCCAAAAACTAACAGGCCAACTCCTTTTTCCCTAGTGGGAGCGGACTCAAGCTTCGGGAGGCATAGCCACATGACATCATGCCCTCAAAGCCTTGTTCCAACGTTGAGTTTATCATCATTCTTTGCATTTAATATCTTTCCAAGATGAGGATCCTTCCAAAGCTCAACCCTTATCTGCCAGCTGCATCGCTGTCTAAATACCTTTCGACTGAGCCTTCTCTTACTTATACGCAAGATGCAGATGCATATTATTAATTAGAATTCAACATATCTTTTCTAGAAAAATTTAATAAGATTATCTTTGAAATAAGTTGAATAGGAGCTGGACAAAACCACAAGAAGCAGCTTTCAATTAAGATGGTGGTGAGCTCCAGAGAGTTTTGTACAAATCATATTCCAGTTAGTGGGGACTATATTTTAAAGCGGGAGTCCACCATGGAAGTCTGAAAATAATCCAACAAAAATGACTTGCAAGGTGAAGCCAGCGAGTAGTCTCATGAACTCGTACGGATTCTCCCCATAGAGGCAGATTGAGGAAGTGCAACGGGGAAGAAAAGTTCACAATGGAAAATTATTGTTTACCTAGTTAGGGAAGGACCGTTAGTTTTCGGGTGTGTTTGTTTACTTCTGTTAAGTAGACTATATTTGCATAACTTTTGTAAATTTAAAGGACAATATGTGCTCATGTGCATATTTTAGGGATAAATATAGACCTAAACCCAAAGATAAGGGACAAGTTTGACTAAAAACTCATAAAATCTCCATAAAACTAAAGGGACTTATATAGTCATTGAATCATTTTTTTGTTCTATATTTTCTTTATTCTATTATCCAATGCTTAGTACTTTTACCTTGTTAATAAAAAAAATTATTAGCAAATTACTTTGTTTAATATTTTTGTCTGCGCGCTTTCTTTTTGTAATATAAGAGAAGATATATATTTTATTAATCTTGAAATATTTTTTATTTTAAATTTTATTATGTTGTTGTCAATAATATAATCTGAATTATATTGAATAAAATCTCTATTGA